TTTAAAGTTGCTTTTAACTAAATCTAAATATACACTCTGTATTTTTTATTCCATAGTAAGGGCAATTCATACAACACATTTAAACTGAGCTACTTTAATACCATCTTTGAACTTTCTACCACGACTCTGCTGTTCTTCGGCTGCTTCCTTCCTGTTGATTGACAGATGTCCCATCCAGTCAGCGGTGAGTAATCCCAAACCAATGGCGCTGTCTCAAACTATACTTACCTCTTCTGGTTTGTCTGATTTGTCATTGTGTTTTCTGACTTGTTCATTTGTTTTCGGATTTGTCGTTGTGTTTTCTGACTTGTTATTTTGTTTTCGAATTTGTCATTGTGTTTTCTGACTTGTTATAATGTTTTCTGAATTGTTGTTGTGCTTTCTGAATTGTTATTTTGTTTTTTAGACTTGCATTTGCATTTGTAATTTGTTATTTTGTTTTCAGAATTGTGATTTGCTTTGCACTTCTCGGCCACCGTAGTAAACCCCCATATTCGACCTGCACGACATAACAAAACAAGAACGAGTTCGGATGTTTTTGACATTTTCTCAATAGTGAGACTAGCTGAACAGATAAAGTGTGTTTTGAATCCTGATGTATTACTGGGCTCATTTTCATTCATCTAACAAACTCCCGTGGCACAAAACACATATGCACAATCTTCTGTTCAGCAGACTATGACTATTACTACACTGACCCTCCACAAATCCAATTACATGGGCAAAACTCATGAAAACAGACACCGTCCTTCTTTCATTCTCTGCTCCATATCTTCCTCTTCTGTAGCTGTGTTTTGTTGTTAAGTTGGATCCTTGAAAAGGGGAAAAGGGCAAATGGAGGAACAAAAAGTAAAATAAATGTAATAGAACAAATCAGTTTGTTTGTATGTGTGCTTGTGTCTCTCTTGTACAGCAGTTGGAAGCATTAGACATCAGAACGTGTTATATATAATCTGCACAAGCTTCACCAAATTAGACTATATTAACTCTGCGTGGAGAAACTTTGAAAGTATTCTTCGGTTCTCTTACAAAATAATTGCATTTTTCTTTGCAGATCTTGATTCCTCTTGACACTGAGACTCGCTCGTGAACTCGCACAAATTAAGCCACAGTTTTGGAAATGTATTCAGGGAAAACAAAGACTTGAACTGTTTTGTGCACCATCCCTACCAACAGAATGCAGTCTGGCCCTCATTAACTCCCTCTCTACGTACCATCTGATAGTATATACCAGCGGTCTATCCCACACATAATAACCAAGTTGGCTCCATGTTAACTAATTATCTTCCACTAATGAGCAAATTCAAATTAAAGCACAGCTAGGACTGTTCATTTTCAAACGGCTCAGGTATTCAGCACACAAGCCATTTCCAAAGACATCCTCAGGTTATTAATATGTCCAATTTCACACATTTTTACCTTTTTATTAGAATTCTCTGTGCACAATTATGCAAGATAAAGCCAATAGAGTATGAAGAGGGACAGACTTTTTTCAGTGGGAAGTCTCTGACCTCAGTTGACAAGCAAAGGCACAACAGCACAGCACAAGAGACTGCACAGCTTGTCCAACACGTTCACTGCTGGCTTCAAAATGCTTGACAGCTGGTTCTTATCTTTGGCAAAGTGGAGAGGAAATTATCACCAACTCCAACTTTCTGTTCACAGCACCCTGAGGAAAGAAGGAATATGTATTTTCAGTTTCACCAGAACAATATGCAGATGAACACAATTAAAAATGAATGGGAGGCTATTAGAGGTATGAAAGGGATATTGCTGGAATTAAAAAAAAGAAAGAAAATAAAGAAAGATTAAGAAAAACAGAATGAGTGAGATTGGCAATGATAGAAAACACTCAGAGACAGAACAAGGACTATTACACACAGAATGTTAATCAAGAGATATTCAGAATGGAATAATAATGTACTGCTTACAGCACACTGTGCACTATAAGCAAATACAAGATTTTGAGCTTTGCTCACTTTGTCTTTTTTCATTATGTAAAGTTTGTGTTTAAATGTTTAAATGGACTTGCTCCTATGCCTTTATGTACATTTTTCGAGAGATTGCAGGGAAGCAGTAAATCCACTAGAGCGGCTTCTAGTGGAAACTGTAAAGTTATACATTGTAAAACATCATTTGCTCAGACTGTTCTCTCAGTGAAAGGTGTACAATTTTGGAATTCATTGCCTGACTATTTAAAATCTGCTGTAAATTTTAATTTTTTTTAAGAAGGCCATGAAATCTTGGTTGATACATCAACAAACCTGTAGTCATGTTTAGTGTATTTATATTATAAATTTGTGCATTACTTGTTTATTGTAATTGTAATTTATAAAAGCCCTCCTAGGGACAAGTGTTGCAAATTAGCTTCGGCTACAAGCACTATGGTACATGCATGGGATGATTGTTTTTTACATTTTCATCTATGTTTATTGTATCTGTCCCTAACAAATAAAACATTAAATAAATAAATAAATAAATATAATGTATACTGCCTACAAAAAACAGTATTCAATGAGGAAATAGTATGCAATGTTACATTAAAAACAGCAGTACTCCTAAGAAATAAGCATTGTTGTTTTGTATTGTTAATGCAGTTATTTTAATCCAATTAACTTTCTTTCTCTCTCTCTCTCTTGGTAGTCTGATCAAATACTGCAAGAAGGACATATTACAAGTGACGGTCAAAGCCAGGGTCAAAACCTGGTAGTTAGCACAAATAACAAATACCCATTATATAAATGACATAATGATTTAGTACTTATATAAAATACTAAATCAGCTACTCTATTAGAATTGTAGTTGTGATGGTACAATAAGATCCATTATTTAACATGAACTAAGAATGAACAATGCTTCTACAGCATTTATTAATCTCAGTTAATATTAATTTCAGCATTGAAGAGCCACAAAACTGTATTTATTGTTTGAATTTCTTTAAAAATGACTATTTAAAAGCTGAGAGTCCTGAGACTTTGTTTCATACCAGAAGTAACCTGCTCTGTATTGTCTGTCGGCATGTTGTCAGTTTACTCTTTGCTCTGCAATGTATTTTTGACTGCGTGAGAACATGATGAGTAGTGTGAGATCAGCATTGTTTGTCAGGGATAGCAACAGTAAGTCTTTGCGAACGGTCAATTGACTTTTCCATGCATGCAGAAAATGTCCACACTGTGCACTGTTTATATTCTGTACTGTTAAAGTAGTACAAGTAGTGCGGTAGTATGAAACTCCCAACTGTTTTCTATAACACAACCCTTGTGGTTTGGAGCACAGGATCTGCCATTGGCAATGCTTGGAAAAAAAGATGTGAAAGTTATGGGATGTGAACGGTGCTGTGAAGTTCATACAGAACGATGGATTTAGCACAAGATTAAAGCAGATTTAATAGCCCTGTGTTTGTGTGTGTGTGTTTTCTGTTCAGTTGTCTGCGAGTGAGTGTGTGTGTGTGTGTGTGTGTGTGTGTGTGTGTGTGTGTGTGTGTGTGTGTGTGTGTGTGTGAGTGTGATTTTTTTTTAGAAGTCTTTTGAGAAGTCTCTAAATACAATCAGCAATATTTTTACAATTTAAAATAAACATTTTCTATTATAATATATTTTATAATGTATTTTATTCCTGTAATGTCAAAGCTGAATTTCTCCAGTCTTCAGTGTCACATAATTGTTGTGGAATAATATATATATAATGTGAAAAAAGTAATGCTACTGGAAAGCACAATATTTGGTTTGGTAATGTTTATTGATAATTCATAATGAAAAGTAAAATTACAAACAGTTGGGTTGCTTATTAATTGTATTCTATCTTAATTTACATACTAAATTCTCATTTAAAATTATCATTTTTCAATTACAAATTGAGGAAATTAATTATATTTGAATTGACATTGCGTTTCCACTACAAATGATGCACAACCCTGGTTGTGACACGAGGAAACGGACGCTGTATTTTGAGAGAAAGCATTACTTGTGTCAAAGAAACTCCCCCTGTGTGTTGTTGTCCTACTTAATGTGTGTTTGAAATGTTGCCTCAGTTTATAGATGTGCTTCTCTACAATAAAAGCAACATGAGGACGCCAGGACATTTGATGTTGCTCTCAGACATATTTATTTCTCCTCTAGACATTTAGCTGACAAGTTGGGAATACTTTTGCTTTGTGTCAGGAAGATTCAGGGAGTTGTTCTTCAATATAGTGACAGATATCACATCCCCTCCATTCATTAGTTCATCGTCATAGCGATAAGCTTGTGATTGATGTGTCTGAGACGTGGAGCTATTGGGAATACTGACTCTCTCTCTCTCTCTCTCTCTCTCTCTCTCTCTCTCTCTCTCTCTCTCTCACACACACACACACACACACACACACACACAGAGAGAGAGAGATGTTGCTCAAGCACAGAGTCAATTGAATCAGCATAAAGCAGACAGCATATCATCACTCTGGTGTCCCACTAGAGAGATAAGCTTTTCTAGACTGCTTCGTTTGATGATGATAGGGGGAAAAACTTGTTTACTTTAACTCCTCCACACATGCACGCAAATGATCGGTCATGCCAAGATCATTCATCTCTGCAGCATAATAGAGGCATAGTGAATGGTTGAGATAATGCTAGTGTAATTGTTGTCAGGGTTTGGAGGTTAGCCCTCTTGCCGTTTACCAACTAACATCCAACAACTGCCAATTTGCCTTTGGCCTGTTCTTGAGACTGCTGTGAGAAAGGTCTGTGCGCGTGTGCGTTTGTGTAAAAAAGCAAAAACTGTATCCTAATCAGGTGACACACAGGATAAAATGTTAGGGTAGATGTCCACTAGTGCAGATGTAATCACTAGAATAACTAGAGCTAACAGATATATTGTTAATAACCATTTTTATTGACTGCACTTCTGTTCTAAGCAGCCATGACATTTTATTGGTCATGTGGTTTTATTTCTGTTGCATCATGCTGGCTAGCTCCGCCTACAGTGAAATCTCATTGATTTAAAATCCTGCTCCACTTAGCTTAATGTTAAACATCAAACATCTTCTGCTTGGCATTGCTTGTGTCAGGTTGCACTACTTATTTGCTTCTGGTGTGAACAAACAAATCACTTTTTTTGCAGGAAGCTTCTTTTCTGGTTATGAATTTGAATATAACTTCAAAACATCACTCTTTGTGTTCTGTTGATGCAGGGACAATATCCTTGTTCTGGATGTGTTCTTTGAGGCTCTGAATTATGAGACCATAGAGCAGAAGAAAGCGTACGAGGTGGCGGGTCTGCTAGGTAACACAGCACACTGCAGCATGAATACTGTGTCTTTCATCTTTTCTCTCTCTCTGTTCCTCTAAATCATAAATATATTTATGTTACAGGTGATATTGGTGGTCAGATGGGCTTGTTTATTGGTGCAAGTATCCTGACCATACTGGAGCTATTTGATTATGCATATGAGGTATGTCAACATCTAAACACAGGGTTCAAAATGAACTGCGAAGTAACTTGAGAAAGTATACAAAAAAATAATTATTTTGCAGTTATGTGTCATTCTCTATTAAATAGTATTCTTATTATAATATTAAAAATATTTATAAGTATTTAAATATAAATATTTATTTAACAATTTGTCGTCATCATAATGGGATTATTTACCTGCTTTTTTCTTGTAGTCACAAAATTGCAGCAACTACCATTCAAAAGTTTGGGCTCAGTAAGATTTTATGTTGGTTTTATTTATACTTTTTTTTTTTAATGAATCTAAAGTGAGAGTAAAGGTATTTATAATGTTGCAAAAGATTAGCACGATTGCTTTCAACATTGATAATAATATAATGTTTCTTGAGCAGCAATTAAGCATATAAGAGTGATTTCTGAAGAATCATCTGACACTGAAGACTGGAGTAATCATGCTGAAAATTCAACTTTGCGATCACAATAATAAATTACATTTTAAAATATATTTAAATAGAACACAGTTATTTAAATTTTAATAATATTTCATAATATTATTTTTACTGTGTTTTAAACAAAATGAGTCTGCATCACTCTGTCAAAAAAGTGCTATGTGCCCTTTGCGATCCTATTTACTATTGCCAGACATATTCTGCATATGTGATTATCATTCTTATTAGTTGCCAGCCACTGGCAAGAAACTTATATATATTTACTCACCGAAGCCAATTTTTACATGCATTTGGCATTTGTTGAGTGTTAATTCTGGACCCTGTCTGACACACGAACATGCTGTTCAGTGTCCAGACTCAGAGGCACAGGAGACACTATACACACTGTAATAAACACACTCAGCCATAATAAATGCAAATGTATTCAGAGAAACACACACATACACACAGATTCCCCCAGACACAGTGATGGCTGTTGAAAACTTCAGTCTGTCTCTGGTGTAGAATGAATGAATGACACTCTGATGGAGAGTTTCATCATAATGAGCCTTCATTAATTCTGCATTGCTGCTGGTCTCTTTGCTCTATGGACAGCAGCCAGCACAAGCCCTTACACCACTCATACCCTCGGGGGCACACACCCTCATTTTGCATTCTGTACTGTGCTGTTTTAATGGATTTTTGATGCAAGATCGCTTAAAAAGGACATATTTCATCTTAAAAATTATTTTCTGAAGCTTAAGCCTCTCTGGATTTTAAGCCTTTTGTTAACAAAGCACATAAAAATAAAAGAAACACTAAAGCATTTAGCTTCATTGGAAATTCATGAGAACTATACATGCCCAATGAGATTTTAGCTTTAAAAATATGGTCATCTTAAGAAGCTTCTTCTTTTTTTTTCTTTTTTTTTATTCACAAGACTCAATAATGTCCACGGGGCATGTTAAGCCTCCTCCTCCTCCAGGGCAAAGGCACCTCTCCCAAGTGTGTGATATTATAAATCATACTAGAGCTCATGCATATTGATTAGGTCAGCCTCACATTTCTTGGTAACCTCCTAGTGCAACCCAGTAATGTGACCTAAGTATTATTCATGAGCTAGGCCTTTACCATATTCGGATCGGACTTGGCCAAAGATTTTCACATGACCAAAAATGATACCAATAAAAGCACAGCAGACTCAACTCAAGCTGCTCTGAGAAGTGATAGTGGTCATAGTGAATACCACAGTGAGTGTCTGAATGGATATTTGTTATCAAAACTTTTAATTCTGTCATCTCTAAACTATCCCTTTACATATGAATATTAATCAAATTCAAGATTGCATCTAAATCTACTACACTCTTAAAAACAAAAATTCCAAAAGGTGGTTTTCACAGCAGTCATGGAAGAACCATGTTTGGTTCCCCAAAGAACCTTTTGTGTATTTGTGATGATAAATAGATGCCAATAAAAAAAACTTTATTCAAGCAAAGATCTCAAAACCACTATCAAACAGGCATTGACATCCACTGTTGCCAAAGATTTTCAATGGAAAGTAGTAAAGCCTGCTCGAAAAGTTGCTAAATGATGTCATATGCTAATTAGCATATTCATAAAACAATTGCATCACATCTGTATTCTGCCAACCTTTTACGTTTGTTTGCTTTTCTACTACTCTAAGCTCACATACAGTATTTTAATACAGGCAAATTCAAGCCCAATACAACTGTTTTCATTGATATATTTTTCGGTTTCTGTTGTCAGACAACGAGATGAATATTGAATAGTGACTAAAACACGGCTACTCCCTTCCAAGCTGTTAACCTGCCCTAAAATCCTGATTTATAATCAAGACGTCATCAAAATCAACTACACATAAAGACAACAGCTGTGCTGTTTTTCGGCTATATTTACATGTAAAATGATCACTCAGATTAGAAGCAACAGAATATCTACAGTATTTTAACTGAATGTGTTGCTCCTCTCAGCCACTCACTGAACAGAGCAGATGCAGAGAGAAGACCTTGCGCGGCAGTACAGATGAGTTTGTCCAAGAAATCGCTAGATTTGTCACTGATTTTTTTTTGGGGGGGGGGGTCTCTAAAGGGCTCGGAAAAGTAAAAAAATCTAGCAACTAAGTCGCTAAGTTGGCAACAATGTTGACATCACCATCAAGAAGTTCAGTTTGTTTTGATTTATGAAAGTTCTCAGACTATTTTATTAGCTCCGATTTAAAAAAAAAGTCCATTCCTGTGGCATTTGAGACGGGTGAAGTTGAGATAATTTGCTCATTGCCAACATGGGGATCTGCAGAGCCGTTGAACTGAAAGCTAGACCAAATTGTGTGATTTTTCCAATCCAAATCACCATTTTCAATTCCTATGTGATTTCCTGATCCCGTGATCCCTCGGTGGTCAGTGCCCTGGGCTGCAACCCATGTCGCTGATTTGATTAACGCAGCACTGGCAGAGCTACAAAGCTGTTCTGAGGCCAGCAGTTTGAGACCTGCTTTGGCAGTGAATGAGATGGTGGTTTGTGATGTGTGCTGGCAGGTGGTGAAGGAGAGACTGCTGGACCTGCTGAACCGAGAGGAGGAGGAAGAGAGTCATGGAGAGGATGTGGTAAAAAATAACTGCCTGCTCAGCTTCAAATAATTTATTTAGATATCATGAACTCAGTGTGTGGAATGACTGTGTTGAGCCTTGGGCGCACAGTTTTAAGAACGAAAAAGTCTGTGTTTTTTTCACAGAGTACCTGTGATCCGGTGGTAAACCATTCGGAATCGATTAGCCACACGGTCAGCGTTCCCCTCCAGACCACCCTGGGCACGCTAGAGGAGATTGCCTGCTGAGCACCGTAACCCCTCCACACCAACAGGGGGAGCCGGGCCACTCCACTCTAATGGGTAAAGGACAGAGTAAAACGAGGGAAAGTCTCTGTTGCTTTTTCTCGACATGTCATCATTTGGCACAAACATGAGAACTGGAAGCCAAGGAGCTTCTCGAGAAACACACAAAGTTTCTCACAAACACCATCTGTTTGTTCATGAAGGAAAGCAAAAGCTTGTGGACCCGTCAGGACAGTCACTTGTAAAAATAAGACAAACATGAAAACACGAGCATGTGAGGAACTGCAGATGTGCACGGCCTCTGCGTGTTCTCGCGTTCTCTCTTTCTCTCTCTGCCCAGCCGCCATTTTGAAGTCTACTGCCAAAACACTGTAAATTATTAACGGAGAAAATGTTGTGATACTGTTCTAACTGTGCATGTGCCAGTTTCATGCGTTACAATGCGGTTTTCTCAAACTTGTCATCCTCTCTCAAGTGTGGAGACGGTTTTGTCTTCTTGTGCTGTTCGTTTGCTATGTGTTTCTGCATCTCAATTGGCTTCTTGATGTATCAGGGATGCATCATAAAACTGAGAGCCCCTTTCTTCTATCCTTTTTATTTTTCTATCCTTCATAGAAAAGCCGAATGGGTCACAGTACAATGACAGCCATTATGAGTCCACTGTGGCAGTGTATGGCTCTTCTACATGCTTTCTGGATCCCATTTGAAAAATGAAGAACAACGAGAGTACAGAAAAAAAGTTTTTTTGTCGCTTTCTGCATAAGAGTATAGTGATACAGCTAACAGTTTTCTTTTTGTTAAATGTGAGAGGTGTTAATTTGTCATTTAAAGCCGATATGATCTGCTTTTAATTCAGAGCTGAGGGATACATCAGCGCTTTTCAGAGATTTTTTGACAGCCATCATGATTCTGCTTCCCCAAATATCGTAAGTGGGATATTTTCATACGTATAAAGGATCTAGAGGCGTTCATGGTGGTTTATTATGTGAGTTGTCGCTATACTGTTGTCTATGTCTCGTCATTTCAGAGCTCTTCATCTGTGCTGTGGTTTATTAACACTGTAATTGCCATATGTTATCTGATATTTACTATGTTCCCACTGTGTTCTTTGATGATGAATGATAGACAGTTCAAACGTGTGCTTATGTTCTTTTCTGCTCTCAAACTAAATGTGAGGTTCTCGGATCACTGTACATCAGTATGAATGAAGCCTCAGTTGACCCATTCATTCTTCAACATGTACAGTGTTTCAGCCAAAATTCATTAACTGAGGCAAAATCATTCATGCAGAATGTGCTTTGGCTGAAAATGATGAAAAGAGGGTCCGTTCTGGGTGATGAGAGTGAGCTTGATTGCATTTCTCAATTTAACTCCCCTCAATATTCAATTTAAGAATATTGACTGGCGCAAAGCTTGATTGACTGAGCTTGTGTGTTAAAACTGTAGGTGACGCTTTTTAATAAATTGTTTTGGGGCATGAAAACCGCTGGCAGACAAGTAATACCAGAAATGTGTTGACAAGCTCCTGGAATATACAAAAAGGTATTTAATCTGGTTTATTAAGCCTAGGCTTTCACACGTGACCTAGGGCCCCCTTGTCCAATCAGATTTGAGCTTAGAGGCAGTATGCAAATATCTGTCATAAATATCCATGCTCAGAGATTTTTCTTGGAGGATTATTACTAGTTATTATTTTCATGCCCCCCTTATGGGGCAACAGTATTAAGAGTGGGATTTGCACCTATATCGTAATGCGACATTTATTAAATAATAACATTAAGAGCAGAAACATAATTTTGCCACAGGGAATAGAATAATGAATGTGTGCTATGGGTTGTTTGTGGCATGTGAGAGAGCCATGTTATTGTGTTAATACAGACACATGTTGCTTAATGTGTGTTATATTTTATTCTATAAATATAGTAGATAAATAAATATAAAAAAAAACATGCAGATATCCAGTCTGGGCACTTTCCGGACTTGCAAAGTATCTGTGACCGAATGTAAATGTTTTTAGTTGTTACATTTGCAATTCAATTTGCTAATCAAATGTAATGGGCTGTACAGGATTAATGTTTTATCCTTATTTGCCCTAAAATGTGATGATTTTTTTCTTAATATGTCAAAGATAGATCTGTAAACCTCAAAGGGTTTCAGGCACATGCAAAGGGGAAAAAAATAGGCTAACCAAACATGTACACACTAAAAAACGCAGAAACCCACAGCATCTGTCCATACTTACACAACAGTGAACTAAGAAGTTACTCATAATGTTAAACAGTAATTTTAGTAGACAAACTCTTTCTTGCCATGTGGGCAAACACCAAAGGGGTGTCACGTCACCTTTGCTATTTTCTCATTAGGAGAAACCAGAGGGGTTGATGGTTTCTAACTCCAAGGTATAATTGCTTTAGTACCTCAGACCTTAGAGATGAAAAAAATAAAGGCTAAATGGATTACAGCACCTGTGTCTTTGCCTCTGTGTCTATCTATCTATCTATCTATCTATCTATCTATCTATCTAGGCTATTTCACGACCACTGTTGCAACGATATCCACTGTTTCTAATTTGATTAAAATGTTTTTCTTTTATATTTGCTGTCCCTTTATCATTTATTGTTACTCGATTACACGCTTGCTCTTTTATCGTGTGTGTGAGCACGAGCGAAGGCTACGCATGTCTGTCTAGGTTGTCAGAAACAAATGAAGAAATACAATTTTGACAGCATGTGATTATTCGTGCCTTGACCCAGTAAAGAAGAAACAGAGAAGCAAAGATGCAAGAAACTCAATTTCGTTTAACAAAAACAAATTCATTTTTACCGCCCTTATAAACAGAGATACACATAAACAAACATCACGAAGAACAAAAGAGCTGTCTTTGGGCTCGGAGATAATGCATGAACTCAAGTGCGCTGGCTCTGCTATGCCATTTACTTTTAAGAAAAACAAGCTACCAGCTTTAATCAGCTTAATTGTTCTGCTACATACGTTGTCGAGTCACAAGGCTTTCTAAGGTCACGTTGCATAAGATGTTGTTGCTGTTTATTGTCATAATTGCAGCATTAATTATTTAAGGATGAAAGATTTGTTTACTGATTTATGAATGCAAATGTTACCTCACTGTTGTGATTGTTGTCGCTGGTTTGTCTTTTTATTTATTTATTTAGCATCAAACGTGGGTAAGATAAGGTATGATGACACCATTTTTTTTCTCCGCCATAGATGGCACAAAATCTTATCTCAACACATTTAAGAAATGGCTATGAAGTTCATTTCATCCCAATATCAGCATTTGTGAGATTTAGTTAGATAAAAAGCACTGGTTTGGATGGTTTACGAGGAGACAAATTTGTATAATGATATGGTAGGTATTACAATGTGAAGGTGGTTTATGAGGACATCGCCTGTGTCCCCATAATTCAAAATGCTTGAAAAACATACTAAATGCTGTTTTCTAAAATCTAAAAATGCAAAATGTTTCTGTTAGGGGTAGGTTTATGTGTAGGGCGATAGAAAATACAGTTTGTAGGGTATAAAAAAACATTACACCTATGAGGAGAGTCTCCATAATAATCCACCAATACCAACATGTGTGGTTTTGAGGTTAATCAAATTTAGTTTTTCTGGAAAATAATAATCTATGATATGTAGTATATGATATACTATGTTGAATATCAAATAGGTTTTGTGTCTATTTTTAATTACAAATTTTAGACATGTTTTTGGATTTGTGAAGTTACTTTTTTTTTGGAGTAACAAATACATTTTTATTTTTAAGTGAAAATGTAAAAATAGACTCTTGGGGTAAGATGCCATGTCTTCAATTTAAAAACGGGACGACAATTAAATATTTATATATTCAATTACTTTTAAGTTATGGAATATACAAACCCAATTCCAAAAAAGTTGGGACACTGTACAAATTGTGAGTAAAAAAGGAATGGAATAATTTACAAATCTCATAAACTTATATGTTATTCACAATAGAATATAGATAACATATCAAATGTTGAAAGTGAGACATTTTGAAATGTCATGCCAAATATTGGCTCATTTTGGATTTCATGAGAGCTACACATTCCAAAAAAGTTGGGACAGGTAGCAATTGAATCTCTTTTACTGGGATTCTGCCTTGACTGTCATTAGTTATTAAATTATTCTATTTTGTATACATTGTGAAAACAAACAGAATAGCTGATTTAGTATTTTATATTAATGACACTTTAATATATAAATATCCCCATTGCAGAGTAAAACAGGATATTATGACATGATTGACTAAATATGTGCTTGAGCAGTTCACTGAGGGAGTCGAAACTGTTTGGTTTCTTTAAAGGCACAATATATAATTTTTTGCAACTAGAGGGCGCGTATTCAAAACAAACAAAGAAACCAAGTCATAGTTAGATAACGCCGTGACTGAGTGTGGAATCATGGGAGTTGTGGTCTTCATCCCCACAGCCGAAGCAATCCGATGGGACTCAGGCAGAAATCATGTTCATGGATGAGCTAATGTATTAAAGATTTATTAATGCCGTAGTATGAAGCAGGGTGAGGCTGAAAGCCGTCGAAGCGAAACGAGGCCGCTGAACGAGCGCGACACATGGCTTGAAAGCAGCGGAGCTTTTATTATGCCACAGTCGACCGCTTCCGCTCCTTCCGGAAAGCAGCGGAAGCAAGCATCGCTGTTTTATCATACTAGATACATTTGAATGTTCTGTTATAATGCTACTCTGTGCGGTCGTCACCTGTCTAATAAAATGCATAGCATATTAAAGCGTCTTTGGTGTTTCCATGTTTTCTACAAAACAAAACGGGAAATCGAGGGGTTATGACGTCATTGGCAGGCGACACAATGACACTATGGACACCCTCCGTGTCCCTAGTTAAAATTGCTTATTTCTCTGGATTTAAACATTCTTCTAAACATTTGGGATAATGTAAGTGCACAAGTCAGCAAAATATAGAACACTGTTCTAGTGGTTTTTGGATATTTTAATACAACTAATTCTTACATATTGTGCCTTTAACTGCAGTTTTATTGTAGTGATTTCCTGTAATTATTCAGATGGCTGTGTTTTCACACACAAAGTTTACTTTAAGATTTCAAGTGTGAGGCTGACAGGATATTCCCAGTAAAATTTAGGTGGTAACACTATAGTATAGGGAACAATTCTTACTATTAACTAGTTATTATAGCATGCCAATTCATAACACATTGGGTGTTTATTAGTGCTTATAAAGCACATATTCTGCATGACCATTTTTTGCATTCCTAATCCTACCTAATACCTAAACTTAACAACTACCTTACTAACTATTAATAAGCAGCAAATTAGGAGTTTATTGAGGCAAAAGTAATAGTTAATGGATTGTTAAATAGTGAGAATTGGACCTTAAAATAAATTGGACCTTAAAAGAAGTTAAAATAGCTTTAACTTCTACCAGTTAAAGCTAACTGCTTTAACTGGTAGAAACTGATTTCATTGTAATGTCATCTATGTCAGGTTTTAGCTGTAATGTGTTGGACCCTTCAGACTCAGTAATCAGAAATTTTGAAAGAGTGATTTTGCATGTTATTTCCCCACCCAAATACTTGGACATATTTTGTAAATCACAGGCAGTAGTTATGTTGAGGACAAGTCATATGTAATCACTTGTCGCCCTTGTTTACTGCCTCTGAGGGGCTGCTGACTAATTGAAAGGCGTATAGCCTGATAAGGGTGCTGCACTGTAAACACAATAAGGCCTGGGGAAATCAATGCCATTTCAAACGGCTGCCCAACAGCTCTACTGATGAACATGGTATTGGCATCAGCCATTTGGAATCACAATGCCTCTTTTCTCCCCACTGACAAATAATAATCTCAGCATGAGGCATTCACAGCAATTCTCACAGGCTTCTCTGAACCTGTCCTCCCTTAGGAGCCTCAGTCCCCTTAAAGAATTTCAGGTTAAATATAAAAAGCTTCAAACAATGAAAATTATCACCCTGAAGTGGTTGTGACCTAGCTTATGATCTAGCTTATTGACTACTCACCAAATAATAAATTAGGTGGATAGTGGTTTGAGCTGAAATTATTGGTCACACTTTATTTTAAGGTCCAATTCTCGAAATTAACAAACCGTTAACTACAAATTTGCCTCAATAAACTCCTAATTTGCTGCTTATTAATAGTTAGTAATGTTAGTGGTTAAATTTAGATATTGGGTAGGATTAGGGATATAGAATATGGTTATGCAGAATATATGCTTTATTCGTACTAATAAACAGCCAATATCTTAATAATAGGTATGCTAATTAGCAACTTAATAGTAAGAATTGGTCCCTAAACTAAAGTGTTTCCAAATTATTTTATAATAATGAAACGGAGAGTGTTGCCATGGAAAATGGTGAGCCACGACTTTCATAGTATTTATTGGTCAAATTAGCCCAGCTTTGAAAAATTTGGTGAATTTGAATTTTGGTGAATTTGAATGTTAAAAGTTCAACAAACTTGAATCTGATGCGTAATTCACATGGTGAAATTTTCTCATGACTTGTCCCTCACTTACCGATCACGTGCATTCCTATCGACCCACGGAATTTTAACTATAAATGGGCAGAAAGGTAATAGGGCAAGAAGGTCCAAGTCTACTAATGGATAAAGCACAGCTCACAAGTCACTTTTATACCAAGCAGATTTACGTTTATCAATGACCAACTTGAACTTGTTTCAAAATTTGTGTTGAGAAATTTTTAATCCTCACATGACTGGATTTCGCCAAACAACGGTAAATGTGTTCTCCCCTTAAGTGTCATTAACTGTCAGGAGGTTGTTTGCAGTCTGTCTGTAACATTTAAACCTCAAATCTGTGATTTATTCATTATCATTCTTTAGGAATTTGGTGACATAAAGTCCATCTGTAGAACAAAATACAGTGTTTGTATAAGCTCCCTGAAGCTAAACAACAGGTATATGCAGGCAGAAGATGTTCTGCAGGAGGTAATTGATCTAAATCCTTTAAAGATGACACAAAGCTTTTATTTTTCTGCTCATCTAATGCACAGAATACTAATTTCAGCTAAGAGTGTTCGCAAATCACCCTCTAACTATTCAGCACACATTTCTAGTGTGATATGTGATATATAGCCTATGAGTAATTTATAAGAAAACCGTATGTGTGGCTAGAAGGTGTTATTTGTGTAGGAGTAGCAACTGCAGGGACTTTTTCAACATTTTGAAGTATTTTTAGCTTCAGTGTGATTACCGTTCAATCAATCAAAGTCCTCAGGAAATCAAACATAATAATGATTGCATTAAGTTGCTTCTATTTTCATTCCATGTGACTTCCAGATGTTTTGTCATGGGAGCATTAGAGACACTAAATTGTCCGTCGATCAGTAGGTTGTGCGATGAATTGGCCATGTTTCCCTGTCTATGGTCAAAGATGCTGGAATAGGCTCCAGCTT